GGTGGCTTATGCTTGTAATCCCAGCACTTTGGGAGGCTGAGGCAGGCGGATCATGAGGTCAGGAGTTTGAGACCAGCCTGACCAACATGATGAAACCCCATCTCTACTAAAAATAGAAAAATTAGCCGGGTGTGGTGGCGCCCGCCTGTAATCCCACCCACTCAGGAGGCTGAGGCAGGAGAATCGCTTGAACCTGGGAGGCAGAGGTTGCAGTGAGCCAAGATCACACCATGACACTCCAGCCTAGGCGACAGAGTGAGACTCCATCTCAAAAAAAAAAAAAAAAAAAAAAAACAGATAAAAATCGTGACTTCACCGAGTATGTCTGGCGATTAAATGAGATATGATACGTCAAAGGCAAGGCACAGTGCCTGGCACATACACGGCACACAGAAGTCCAGGCGATGCCTCAGGTCAGTGCCCGCATGGCCACAGAGCAGCACAGAAGGTAACACTAGTGAGTGTGGAGAACAGATGGGGCCTGCTTCTCTCCTTCCATTTCACTCACTCACTCAACAGACATGGCTGAAGGAGGGAGACCGTCCTTCCAGCTCTTTCAACAAAAGTTCATGAGGGAAGGGCTATACAAAGCACCACCTACAGTGGGTACAGGCTTGGTGCCGGGGGTTGCCCAGGACATGGTGAGCAAAGGACACAGGGAGGTGCTGGGAAATAAAGGGGCTGGAAGTCAGAGGGGTCTGTTGCCTCAGGAGGCAAAAGAGCCTAAGGAGAGAGCTCACGGAACCTGTGGCATGGAAATGTTGAAAACAGGGATGTGGCAACCAGAGCCCACCCTCCTGGTAATAGGGCTCGTGCCAGCAGCTAAAGAGTCAATGTCAAGGGCAGAGGGAGACAGTCTCCACTACTGGAGAGCTTCCCATCTGAGGGCGACACAGGCCTCAGCTCAAGTAGGGATCCAGGTCACGTTCACCACTCTGTCCCCACGCCCTGCATAGCACTTGGCATGTGGCTGTTCATATACGTGGCCAGGAAATAGCTGAGGAATGAATGAAGGATGCACTGATATTGAAAGCCATGGCTTCTGGGGCCATTCTCTCTGCATGGTGAATCTCTGCAGAGCCTGGTTCCCAGTGGAGGTGCTTGGTAAGTGTGTGCAGGCTGAGAGGCAGAGCTTACTGTGGGGAAGTGGTATTGGTGATGCTGGGGGATCTAGGTAGACGGTGCCTGCTGTATAAGCCTAGTTCTCCCTTTCCCAGGTTCTGGACCAGCCACACCTCCTCAGGCTCCCACACATCGCTGACACACCTGGCAGGAATTTCTGTAACTGCTCACATCCCCATCTCTATCTTCCTCAGATAACCCATGGGGCCTGAGCCCCCAGATCCAGAGACAGTCCCTGTTCCCAGCCTCTGATGTCACGCTGTTCCTTCAGCTTCTTTCTGTTCTGAGGACTGCTAGCTGCCCTTGTCAAGCAAAGGTTTGGGGCTGAAAACCATACAATATGAAGGAGAGTTAGACAGGAATGGCAATCAGCAACGTGTATCATGGTCGGCCTAACCATCAGCCATTTCCCAATTCTTCCTTGCTACAAATCCCGATTTTATTCAGGCCATTGAGTGACTGCGGAGATGCCCTTTCCCCAGATGGAGGAACAGAGCCTGTGTCTCCTAAGCCAACCACAGAGATTCTATTCCCCTGCTGGTGGCTGGATCAGGAACAGGCTGAGACTGTTTCTGGCCAGTGAGATGTGAGGGGAGGTCTGCTTGGGAAGCTTTTGTGATAATGTGTCCAGTTGTACAGACCCACACAGGCTCTCCTCTCCCTCTGATCAGGTGACTCAATGTGACCCTTGGAACTCAGCCACGGCACCCACACTGCCATGGACTGAATGCCTACTATGCATCAGATGGCTCATCTGCATCATCTCTTTATTTTTTTTTGAGATGGAGTCTCACTCTGTCACAGAGACCAGAGTGCAGTGACACAATCTCTGCTCACTGCAACCTCCATCTCCTGAGTTCAAGCAATTCTTATGCCTCAGCCTCCTGAGTAGCTGGGATTATAGGCGCCCGCCACTGCCACCATACCCGACTAATTTTTGTGTGTGTGTTTTTTTTTTATAGACGGGGTTTCACCATGTTGGCCAGGCTGGTCTTGAACTCCTGACCTCAAGTGATCTGCCTGCCTTGGCTTCCCAAAGTGCTGGGATTATAGGCATGAGCCACCGCTCCCAGCCGCATCATCTCATTTCATCCTCATCATCCGAAGATAAAGAATGTATGCCCACCTTACAGACAAGACAAGCAAGGCTCAGAGCGGTTAGGCAACTTGCTTATAGTCACACAGTTGGAAGAGGTAGACCTAATGCAAGGACTCTAATGCAAGTTCATCTATTTCTGAGTTCTCTGTGCTCCAATCACAATGCTGTGGCCCTTGCATATTTAAGAGGGGCTGCTCGTGGTAGGCATACAATACATCAGTGCTGGCCCTCTTCCTCAGCCTTCTCCAACCCCCTGAACCAGCAGGGGACATACTCAGGCCCCTAGGAACACCCCTAAGGGAGGAAAATTCCCCCAGCCACATGGTTGGGAGCCAGTTCCAAACACTGTTTTGTTACAGACACAAAAGCCCTTCTCTCTCTGGGGGAGACCCACAGCTCCATACAGGCCTCCCCTTGTTTTCCCTGGCTCCGTGTCAGGGGCCCACATCCAGCAGGGCCCCAGGGAATCAGGACCATGGGCGGAGAAATGGGTGAAACCCAAGGACCTGCCAGTAAGGAAAATCTGCTCAGGACACCTCTTAGCTTTTAGCTAGGCTGCTCTTTGAGCCTGGTCATTTAGTTGGGGTAAGGGTAGGAGGGTCTCCCCTCAAGAGCCCAGTGAAGGGACAGGGCTCTATTGCCTTGAGATGAAAAGTGATGACTCTGTCCCTAAACCCAGGAAGGGTTTCAGGCGGTGCCTGTGGATGGGGTCCTGTTCCCCTCTGCCCACAAGAGGATCCCTCCAGGTGACCCTGCCTGTGGGGAAGGGGCTCAGCTGGAGGGAACCCTGGCAACAGGCGGGGCTCAGTCTCCACTCCACCAACTCCCTTTCTGCCCGGCCCCTTCTCTCCAATAGCCAAATTCTGCCTGTAGGGAGGCCAAATTGCCTTAAAAGGAAACCTGTTTCTCAGAGTTCATGGAGTGCCTTAGAGGGACACTTGGCTCCTTCTTAATTGCCTTCCCAGCTCTTGGGGACAGAGGCCCTGCAGAAGGGACAAGAGAAGTTCCTGAGGTCAGGGTTCAGGCTGTACAGGTCAATGGTTAGGAAAACAGGAGCCGGGATTCAATCAATACAGATTCACCCCTTCGTAGCTGAATGATCTTGGGCAAGTTACTTTCCTCTCTGAGCGTCAATTTGCTTGTCTCTAAAATGGATCACATACGGACTCCCTAAAATTGAGCTGTAAGGATTAAATGAGGACGTATGGAAGTGATGGCCAGCACACTGTAAGTGCCCACCCCTCTGACTACCACTCACACGACTGGCCCAGTCATACCTCCACACCACACTGCTAGATGTGGGCCAGC